ATTGTTCATTGTTAAATTATTGTGCTTGAATTTTTACAAAAATCAAGATTTTTTATTAAAAAAGTATATTTTTTTGTGATAAAATTCTTTAAAAACTGTTTTCACGGCAAAATATAGTTTTTATGTTTTTTAAAACGTAGTCTTATGTTAAAAACGATTTTGTAAACATATGGTAAAAAAATTCGCAAGTTGACCTACGAACTTACCGCTTGACCTGCGTAGATACTGAAAAAACAATGTTATTTTTAAAAAATATTCGAAAGTTGACCTAAGAAATTACCCATGTTTTTATGTTGATTTTTTAAAGCTTTTTGTGATAGGATCTTCAAATATCATTTTTACAGCAAATATAAAACCTTATATTCCAAAAAACTAAATCTTAGGTTGAGTGGGATTTTTATATAGAAATATATATAGTTTAAAAATAAAGAAAATGAAAAAAAATAAAATAACTAATACACAAATAGGCCATTTTACACGGTTACATCTAGTTCTTGAGTTTTAGCAAAGAAAAAAAATATGAAGGAAAAGAAGATAAAAAAAGTGTAAGAAAATTGAATTTTGCGTTCCTCATTTAGAGCAAAGTAAAATGAATATTAAATATTTTGTTCATTTTCTTTTTAGATCCTTCTAAATTGGAAAAAAAAGTTAAGAGGAAAAGTTTGCTTTTCCTTTCATTTATTTCAATTTCTTTTTCATTTCCTTCTTTTTAATGAAATCCATAAACATTAATCTCTTTTACTTTCTACCTCTACCATTAGTTTTTTTTCTATTATTATTATTATTATTTTTTTCTCGTTATTCGGGAACAAAGTGTTTGAAATCCATCTCGCAGTTCCTTTGCAAAATACATTTATTTAATTTTCCCTTTCTTTTTTGAAAAAGTTTAACAAATTTAGCTAGAATATATACTTAAGGTGCATAATTTGACTTGATCAAGTAGTCTATTTCGATCCATTTATTTAGGTTATTTTGGTTGCTATTTGGTCTACGAATGAACCCAAATAGTAAGATGAATAAAGGTTCGCTTTAAATACGGATGACAATTGGTGTTCACATTGGGTCTATCATAACCTAATACAATTTAACTAATCATGTCATAAACTCCCTATAGATTATTCATTTTAGGGATAAATGATTTGCTCAAAAATTATACACATATGACCAACAAATTTAGGGATATATACACTAAAGTCTCAATATTTTCAACGATTTGACAATAAAGTTTTAAATTTTATTTTTTTGACAGTAAAATCTTAACTACCGGCAGTTTTTAAAACACTTACCTTTTTTTGCCGGTTAACCGGTAATTAGGACTTTACTGTAAAAAAACTAAAGTTTAAGATTTTCTTGTCAAATCATGAATTAGGACTTTACTGTCAAAAAAATAAAGTTTATGATTTTTCTTGTCAAATCATTGAAAATATTGAGACTTTAGTATATATATCTTTTTTTTTGTTAGAAATATAATGGTATGATAGTCTTTAAGCGTAAGAGTTATTGGAACCTGCTCTGATCAGACCAGCTAGATCCTATTGAAATCTTTAACTTTTGCTTTTTGTTAAATATATTTTTTTTTAATCTCAACAAATCCGGCATTAAAAAAAATGGAGATAATCAAGAAAGAAAGAACCAATGTTGTGTTGGCTTTCTGCAATCCTAAAAATAGAGAACTAAGAAACCAAAAAAGACGAAACTGCCATTCTTACTTATTCTCCACATTCACACCTTTTTTAGTAGGCGTGTGTTGTTTGTGTTTGTACAATCTGTTACCTCACGAAACTGATAAAAATATTTGTTTCTAGGGAAACCAAAACTCTACACTTAAGTTCCAATATTTTCAATGATTTGACAAAAAGTCGTAAACATAATTTTTTTTTACTGTAAAGTCCTAATTCACGATTTGACAAGAAAGTTTTAAACTTTATTTTTTTGACAGTAAAGTCCTAATTACCAGCTAACCGGTAAAAAATGGTAAGCGTGTCAAAAACTGTTGATGGTTGAGACTTTACTGTCAAGAAAATAAAGTTTAAAACTTTAGTGTATATATATCTCACAAATTTTTATAAAATGTTCGGAAAATGTTATTATGATAGACAATTAAAGATTTTTATGGTTTTCCACAATTTCTCCAGCAACCAATAAAATTCTAAGGATAATTAACTTTTATAATTGTACACGTTTATTTATTTATTTATTTAATAAATTTGACAAGTAAACTTACATTAAAAACCAAATTTAGCCAACAACCTATTCCAAACGTCTCTAAAACATTAATTAACACATTTTACTACATTTATAGGTAACAAATCATGAAAGTTTTTTCGAATCTGTCCTTATGACATGCTATATAACACATACAACATATTATACATTTTTTTCTAAAATTTTGACTTAAGTTTTAATTTTGTTATGTCATTGGCACAAACTTTTTACGGACTTACTCCAACTATTTTTATAACTTTTTATAACATTTTTATATGACTCTTTGTATAGTTATTTCAAATTTTTCTATAATTTTTATAAATTTTTTTACAACATTTTTCTTATGTTCTTTTACATATTTGTTTTAACATGTTTTTGATGAATTATGAACTAGTGGTTTTATTGTAAACTCGTTTTTATAATCCGTTTTCTAAGTTTTTCATATATTTGTTTACGTTAATGTAAGGTCATAAAATGTAAAAACTCGATTTCCACGTATTTATTTTTACAAATTCATTGAAACCAAAATTGTAAAAAAAAAAAAAAACTTTATAAAACAGGTGCAAAATTGTTAAAATCAAAACTTTATAAAAATGTTATAAAATAACTTTTCAAAAGTGTATTTTTATACAGAAAGCTGATTCTTTCAAATATTCTTCTTATATAAATTTTTTCAAATATTCATTTTGTAAAAAAGAAGATTGATTTTTTATATTATCTCTCCTCTTTTGTATCATTCAATGGATATGTAACACGGAAAAAAAAAGTTCGAAACTAATACAAGTTCGAAGTTTAACCTAGACACATTAAGAACAAGTTCAAAAATAATGAAAAACACTTCGAAATTTCGAATGACGTATGGATTATAGTCTATAGAACCTATTTTCTATATAAAAAGTAATTTGCTATTTTTGAACTATTTTTTCAGAAAAAAAAATATTTTCAAACTTATTTATTTTATGAAAAAGTTTGTCGAAATTTGTAAAATAATTGGTGCTCATTTTGGTATTTCCCAAAAGCGCTATAGTGGTTTGGTAATATATAAGTTGAGCTAGCCCATTTGGTTTACAAGAAGATGTCTAAGAATGAATTATTAACAAAGAGTATTTGCTAAAAGCGGTCATCTTGGTGAATATCCCAAATGTAAAACTTCGATCAAAATCATTGGCCAAATTTAATGTTAACATAAGTTTATTGTTTAAGTGTAAATGTATATTAAAAAATAACTAGACAAAATTGCAAGAATGGTGGATGTGGTATGTCCAAAATTGCTACTTTGGCCCAAATAGGTTTGGACTAGCACCAATAGTCCAAAAGTTTTCATTTTGCTGCGGTTTTGGTCCAAAATAATTTAAAAAATCTAAAAAAGACGGATTTGCCATTTTCCATTTGTTTTTTTGCTTTTTTTTGTTATTTTGTTATTTTCTAACAAAAAAAAAATAAAATAAAATAAAATATATATCTCTCTCACTCACTCACTCACTCTCACTCTCACACACACACACACACTCACTCTCTCTCTCTCTCTCTCTCTCTCTCTCTCTCTCTCTCCCTTCGATCGTTGCTGCCCTCCATTTGAACCTCGACAGTCGACGACGAGAGAAAGGAGATTGAGATCTGAAAGTTAGGGTTTCTTGGCGGCTAGGGTTTTCAGATAAGGCGTTTAATGACTAGAAATCAAAGGGGAGACACCTGGGGGTGAAGAGATGTGTGTCTGGTGGTGCTACACGGCTGGGGGGAGGCGGGGAAGGGCTGCAAAGGTGGTGGTCGGCAGCCTCCGATGGTTTCCGACGTAAATGGTGGTTGTAGCGGTGGTTTCTGGCGAACATGGTAGCGGTAGCAGCGGTGGTTTCCGACGATGACAGGTATTTCCGGTGTAAATGTAGACTGAGAGAGAGATAAAATCTTGTATGTTAGGTGGTTTTCAAGAGAGAGAGATTATTTTATTTTATTTTTTTAGTTAGAAAATAATTAAATAACTAAAAGAAAAGAAAGAAACAAATGGAAAAGGGCAAATCCGTCATTTTTAGATTTTTTAAACTATTTTGGACCAAAACCGCAACAAAATGAAAACTTTTGCACTACTAGTGCTAGTCCAAACCTGTTTGGTCCAAAATAACAATTTTGGACGTACCCCAGAGACCATTCTTGCAATTTTGTCAAATAACTAAACATATATAATTGTAAAACACAAGTTCAACGGTCGTCGGAGGAGTCGCGGTAGCCAATACCGAGAAAAATAGTACTTTTTTCTTTTAACGCTTTACTATATACAATTTTATTAGTTAAACTAGTTTATAACCCGTTAACCTGTGGAACCACGATTACAAAATTAATTAAACTTTCATTGTGAGAACTCAAAATTATTAATCAATTATTTTAAATAAATTATTAATTAAGAGATATTTTTTAGTTATATAAAATTATAATCGTTAATTTAAATAAATACCTAAAATTATATCACCATATAATTTGTATTAATTTTATTTTAATTTTATTCTAATGTTATTAATTTAATGTAATTAGAGTGAGAAATTTAAAATTTGAAATGGAGAATTAATAGGTTGACAAGTGACATGCATTAATTAGGAGATCTAATAGGGTGACACATGACAAAAGAAGATTAAAATATGCATTAATTAGTAGGCATAATAGGATGACACATGTCAAAAGGAGATTAAAACTATTCTTTTATTAGAAGAGAGATATGTCAAAAAAAAAAAAAAAAAAAAAAAAAAAAAAAAAAAAAAAAAGGGACTGGATATATACAAACACTGCCCTCACTTTCAGACAAGAAATGCCACCCAAACACAAGTACTCCCACCCCGACGATCATCTATGCCTTGTGTCACTGGTCTCCGATCGCCCCGTATCTCTCTAATCTCGATCTTCCTGGTCTCGGAACGCCACCCTAGTTCCTCGCAACGCCATTGACATCCCCCAGTTCATTGCTGGTGCTGGAAACAAACCGTCCCAGTCCCATCATCTCCACTTCTGTTCATCTACCCCGAAAATCTTCTCTGTTCCTCGAACCAAGTCTCCCTTGTAGTTGATCTTCTCAGGTACGTTGTTCATCACTTCTCTTGTTCATTTTTAAGTCATTTTGGTGCCCTAATTTTATACTTTTCGTTTATCATTAGGTTTGGTTGTTTATCTTTCTAATTAGCTCAGTTCAAAAGTTTTTCTTATTAACGACTTCATTATTCATTAGTATGTTACCTCTCTGATAGAGGTGGAATTATGCATTTGTCTTGAGACTCTACTACACTCTGGGGAGGTGTAAACTGATTTAGAATTCAATCCTGGGAAAATTGGATCTTTTGTTGCTACTGTTGATCATCATGCTCGCTGTATGAACTGATCTGTGTGTTTGTAATTGGTTTGATTATCCTGAATCATGGGAAAATCAACAGGAATAAATTTTTCATATTAAATGTGTTCTTCGATGTTATGGTTTTAAGTTATAAATTGGTAATATGCTCAATCCAAAACAAATACAGTCTTAATGTATAGAACATCTACTCTGATCATGCATCATTTACACACTCAAAACTTTTACCCATACAACTCTTAATGGGAAGAAAAAAAGAAACATGACCTAGATTAGAATTGAAATCGAGCATTACAGGAAGTAATGATGTTCAGGTGTTCATCAATCAGCATTTGTGATATTGATATTATTTGTGTTTTACATTCTTGGTAATTGATTTTCATCCCATATGAATTTGATTAGTGATATTTACTTGTTTAGTTGTTCATCATTTGTGCTTTTACTATATCATTTAAATTCTTGGTAAATGGTAGTTGATTCTGTGATTTCCTTAACACAGAATACTCATACTTGTTTCTATTTGACTATTTTGCTACCCACTTTTGTAACTTTGTTGCTTTGTTGCCTTGAGCTAAATCCATAACTTGGTAATACATGTTAAAAATCGTTTCTATGTGTCTCCAGGAAGTAGGGGGGTTTTGGTTGAAAGAATTGGGGGGATTATATGATGATGTCACGATTAATAACTGGCAATGAGAGAGTGTTTTGGGGAGGGTTGTTGGTTATATTTGGGTCCACTTTCTTTGGTGGTTTCCTTTATACTGCAGTTATATCAAAGCTACTCCCTCATTCGGATAATGCTATTATCTTTGCAATACAAAATGACAGGTACTGTATGAGATTTGATTACTATTATTATTATTATTATTATTATTATTATTAGTATTTTGTAAATTCAAAGTTTTGATCATTTTCTCTAATTTTATACTCCCATTTTCATGATTATGATGGAGTCTAACGTTGTAAACTTGTTTCTTATTTGCAACAGGTATTATTGCTTCTTGGTGCCTTTGACACTTCCTGTGCTTGTGTTTGCTGTATACCTGTACTGGCTTAGCATGAAAATGTTTAAGCATTCATGACCTCAAATCTCCAATGATAATTAATGGTTATCATATACTGACATGCATTGGATTGAGACTAATGTTGATCAGACAAAATTACAAATTTTTTTATCCGGGACAAAGATAAGAGTATTAAAAATATTTTGTAATTGTAGTGTAATTTGGAGCTTTATATTTTGTTTTATTTGTTCAAATGTCGTTATTTGATCTTCAAAATGACTCCATGTATAACAATGTAGTCACCATAACCAATTTTCTAACAAAAGATAGACACAGAAAAAGAAGACATTACAATAGAACACAATGTACACCAAATTGTAAAACTAGGTTTGATATTTCTAACAGAACTAGTGTACAATTAGCCAAGTTCCAACCACAAATAATTCAAACAGACTTTTAAACTGGATAGTTTCTAAAGCAAATGACTTAAAACAAACATAAATTATCAAAAACATAACTAATTTGCTATCTCTTCCCCTTTCTGTCATTTCGTCCTCTTTTCCTAAACTCGCGTCTTTCAGACGAATACTGTTTCTTAATCAATAAATTGCGCATCGAGGCCTTAACAGCTTCAGCAGCTGCTGAGAAAACATCTTCATCAATACACAAACTTCCCTGCAACTTTTCCAACACTTTTTCTCCACAGGGGACTTGTTTATCTTCCAATATTTTAATGCTGTCATCTTCTTCAACAGATCCTGAATTGCATTTGTTTAAACCAGAAATAACACGCACTCGAGCCAGTGATGAAGAATCAAAACCAGGCAAATTTGAAACACCCATCACCATCCATAAGAAATCTGATGTTAATGAACTCCCTAAGCTTGTGGGTATGAAATCTTCTCCACTTATAGACACCACCTGTTTAAGAAATAAAAATGTACTTTCATTTAGTAAATCATTTGTGAAAGTAGGATGCATATAACCTTTTATATGAAACACCTTAAGCTATACATTTATCTATGACATTTGAGGCAGTAGTTGCTTACCCTTAAAACAGAAAGAGTTTTAGCAGAAAGGTTGCAACTCAACACCGATATTCCTGGCAACCTGCATTTTAGAACTAAAACATCAGAGTTTTCCTTTAAAATGCATATTTTTGATGATCTAGAAGACATTTTTACCCTTGAACAGCTACAAATATTGATGATCCATCAGGTGTTGCACAAAGATCTGTAACTGCAAAATGATTGTTTTCTGTTCCATTTGTCTGTTGATGTCCCACCTATAAGCAGCCAGTATAATTTCAAATTATACGTTTAAAATATCATTTGTAATTTCATAAATCATTTGTAGAAGCAAAACAAGATACCTCTGATCCAACTTCACATGTATGAAGAAGCAATCCAGATGTAAAATCCCATAAGCGAACCTACACCACAAGAAAAAATGTCCGATTTATTAGAGTGATAAAAAAATCATAATGGCAATTTTGTAAAAAAGTTAAGGTTGTAATATTTCTCACTGTTGAATCGCCACTTCCAGAGACTAAATACCCCTGTGGAAATTCTTGATTGTAGACAAAGGCTAGACAGGAGACAAATCTGCCATAGAATATAGAAGCATGAGATGAGTGTAAAGTTAACAAAGACACATCATGTCAAAGTTTAGAAACCATGTTCAACTTCATTATTATTCCCTAGAAAATAAAAAAATAATGGCATTTCCAGTAACTCACTCACTCTGTATGGCCAAGGCAGTAACTTTGTATCTCATGAGCTCCATCTATAGGTTTCTTCGGGAGCATGGTGACCTGTCATTTAGAAAGAAAATAAGAACATGCTTAAGAAAATAGTAATTGCTGACTGTATGATAATAATAATTTGGGTGTGAGAAGTTTATTATTACACGAATTTTGAAATCGCGGTCAGCAGTAACAATGAACTTCCCATCTGGTGAAAACTCCTGGAAGGTTATAGATCTGTTAGTAATTGTTTAATTGTTTAATTGTTCATTGATCAATGTATGTTTGTTATCAATATTATCAACCACTTACTAGACTAGTGATGATGCTACAATAGTGGGCAAGAAGTGGTGACCCCTTCTTCTGGACTGGTGTTTGATTTTCATGAAGTTCATCCAACTCAACAACCCAAACAACTCCAAATTTATCAGCATAACAAACGAATTGTCCATTGTCACTAATGGCAACTGCACTCACTTTCTTCTCTGTTGGCCTTTTGAGTGTCAAAAGTCGATTAATATCAATAAAATCAAGTTTAAATCAACTTAAAAAAGCTATGGTGGTATGTTTCCAAGAAACAGAACTTACACAGAATACAGACAGCGCCATGAATCTGTGGCCCAAATCTTAACTACTTTGTCATCCCCAGCAGACACGAAGACTTTACCCTTTGCACCATAGCGAATTGCTCTGATAGATTCCTTATGATCACAAGCTTCACCTGACTCAGCCCCTAACGTTATCGAGCAACCTTCTCTGTAAATCAGCAATATAAAAAATGTCAGGTTTATGTCAACTAAATTATACTCACTGTAGCCCAAAATCACTTTTAGCATTCTTTACTTATTTCAATTATATGTAGATTTTGTTGCATAATTGCACGTTATCAACTTTTCAATTGCATTGTTTGTTATAAAGTTGAATGACTTGAATCTCGTTAGCAATTTGTTCTCTTAAGGTTTAATATACATTCGATATGAAGTCGACCGTTTAACATTCAAAGCTCTGATTTACTGCAGAGACGTGGAAACCAACTGATTGAGGAAATAGAAACTTTACCTGAGATTGAATACACGGAGCTCACAGCCAACGGCTACAGCAACGGAGTCCTGAGCAGGATGAACGGAGATGAGAGCCGGAGCAACTTCCACTTCCATGGCTTCTTTATTGTTGCCTTCCGAGGGAATCATAGAATCATCATCCTCCATTTCAGCTTGTCAAGGAGTTCTTCCCGAATCCTAGGGTTTAATGGCGGTTTAAAGTTTTGATATTATGTTCTGCATAATACTTCCATAGTCTCGCACTTCAAGTCTTCAACTTCCGTTCCAATTGTCTTCCACTTAAAAGCCAATGGGCTTCAAGCCCAATAAAAAGCTTGAACAGTTTCAATTAAAATACTTTTTCCAACTTTTATCATTTTGTTTAAGTTTAGTAATTTTTTTATTTTTGTACACATTTCACCGTTTAATTTGTTATATGTGTTTACATATTGTCATTGTCACCGACTATAGCAGGTGACAATGGTAATATGTGAACAAATTAACAAGTTAAATGATTAAATGTGTACGAAAAAAAAAGTTGCGTGAACATAACGAAAAGTTAGTTATACTGATAAGTCATTTTCCCCCACTTTTAATAGCTATTTTATTTTTCATATTTGTTTGAATTATTTTTTCAAAATTTATTTTTAAAATATCCATAATTTCCTAAATATTAATTAAATATTGATCAATTTTAAACTTTACTTTTTAATTAATAAATATATTTTTGATTTGTGAAATATTTTATATAGCCTCTTATAATTTTTTTATTTTGTTTTTAAGCATATACAATATTTTTAAAGTAAATAATATCTAACAATAAAATTAAACAAATTATATATGTAACAATAAGTATGGATGATCTTTTAAAAAAATAAAAAGAAAATATTACTTAGCAAAATAAAAAAACACAAAAAAATAATCTATATAATGTAAATATTTTAAAATTATTCCAACTTTTTAATATTTTTTAATTAGAAGTTTATAAACTTTTAATTTTTCTAATACAATGTTTATACTAGTATTTAACGAAAGTATTTAATATGTTATAAAAAATATTAAACTATCATACAAAATCTGTAAAACACTTTAAAAATGTTGTAAAAGAAAGTTTAGAAATAAATGTATGAAAGTTATAAAAAATATATGAAAATGTAAAAAAAAAAAACAAGTTAAATACATGTAAGAAAATTTTAAATCATTTATAAAATATTTGGTTTAAAATTACTTGTATTACAATTATATAAAAGAATAAAAAAGGTTATAAACAAAGATTTAAAATACTGTATTAGAAAACCTGTAGGAAAAAAATATCATAAAAATGTTGTAAAAAATTATAAAAAAATTTAAGAAATTTGTAAAAAAAATGTTCACATTTAGGTAAGTTAGTTTCTTTTGTACACATTTGACCATTTAACTAGTTAAATGTGTTAACATATTACCATTATCATCTGCTATAGCAGATGATAATGGTAATATGTGAACACATTTAACAAGTTAAATGGTCAAATGTGTAAAAAAAAAAAAAATAAAGTTACCTAAACGTGAACAAGACGAACATATAATTACCCTCGCAAGTCATTTTCCATTTTAAAAATATGATACTATTTTATATGATAGAAAAAATATTAAGATGCTATAATAAAATATATTGTCATTTCTTATCTTTAGTTTTTTATTTTTATTTTTATTCGATAAACTAAATCATAATCTTGTCGAACTTATTTTGAACGCCTTTTATTATTCCGACATGTAATTTATTTTTCATCATTGTAGTTGAACCTTTAATAATCCATGATTTTATTGTTTGTAACATTATCCTTTTTTTTGAAACGGCAAATCAAACCTACTCCTAAATTACACCTTAAATCCACCTATGTCCACGACGGGACTTGAACCCTCAACCTCAAGAAGGGAGGACACCACCAGATATCGCTGGACTAAAAGCCCTTTGGTGTAACATTATCCTTTAAACTTCTTTCAAGTGGTGATATAAAAATTATTTAGAGAGGTAAAGAATTCAAATCTAAGAACACGTGAAACTCTTATGACAAGCTATACATGAAATATTACAAGTAAGAACATTCTCTTCAAAATCAATGTTAGAGTTAGGGTATTTAGCGTACATTATGTTTATCTAAGGTTTTGGGCCAAATTGGATTGGTGAAGGCATGTCTTACTTTCTCAAGTTCTTTTGTAAATGAAAGTCAAACATTAGAATTCTAGGTGCGAGAGGTGATGATCTGTTATATCTATTGTTGTTTATATTTATTATCCATGGAGGATCTTCATAGGCCGTGGAAGATGTAATGACTCATACTTATTTTAGATGTGTAGATATCGATAATGAAGGTTTGTCTGTTTCTCATTTGTTTTACATTGGTGATGTTTGTTTTTTAGCAGGTAGAATGATTAGAATGTTGGAAACCTTGTGCTGGTTTTTATAGTGATTTTTTCTTAACTGTGGGGTTTGAAGATTAATCTTCAAAGTCGAATCCTTTTGGTGTATGTTTGGTTTGGATGATGTAAATCATTTAGCCTTCTATTATGGGTTGTAGCTCGACTTCCTTTCTTTTTAAGTATCTTCCTTTCCGGGTACGTTCAAATATGTATTGGGTGAAAGGTGGAGAGTGGTGAATAATAGATTTAAGAAGAAACTGGCTAATTTTTTTTTTTTTTTTTGAACTAGCAAATATAAATATTATAATCTACTCCTAAACTAACACATAATTCCACCTATGTCCACCACGGGACTTCAACCCTCAACCTCAAGTGGGAAATGAAAATTCTTTCCTATTGAATGTCAAATAATCCTTTTGAAATTAGTTAGTTTAAGCATGTACTTGATGTCTATCTTTAAAGTTTCCGAAAGTATCGTGTTCATTTGGGTGGAGAAACTCATGAAAGGAAGAACAATTTAGTTAAATGGGAAATTGGGTTAACTTTTAAGTAAAAAAGTGGTTTGGGTATGGAGGCCTTTCTACATTTAATTGTGCTTTATTGCATTGGAGATTTGTTAATGACGTTAACCCATTGTGTGTTTAATGTTATTAAAGTTATTCATTATTTTCAAGGCTATTTGGGTTCTACGCCACAAACTCGCTTGGTGTTTGGTATATAATTGCCGAAGATATCCACCGGCTACACGATACATTATTCTACTTCATTCTATCTTACAGAAAGATTGGTGATGAGTCGAATTTTATTTTATTTTTTTTCTTTTCTGGAAGGAGGTTCTGAAACCAACAAAATTTTGTCTTTTGGTTTAAAAGGTCCCTTATTTTTTTTTTGTATTTTTTTTTTTGTATTGTAGGTTACTAAACTATGAAAATTGGTATAAAAAACGTCAAATGTGAAGTGGTAAGCCGGTTGTTCTTCTTAGTCGGCATCTTGATCATCATATATGGTCCACGTGGCATGCTGAGAACGTCCACATAGATTTTCTATAATAAATATAGTTTTATTAAATTAAAATAAAATAAAAACAAAAAAATCAAACCCAGATCTTGAACAACATCTCCTGAACATCTATAGTTTGCCCCATCTTCAACCTTGACCACGGTGGATGCAAGGTACCAAATCCTTCTCTTTCACACCTTCAAATCCAACCTTCTTCGCCACTTCAACAATGTCGGAGTAGCTCCTCGACCATATAGTACTTTGCTCATATGAGAAGCGGGTAATATATCCATAAATCGAGCATAAAAAACATCAAGGTACGGCTCTTGCAAGCTTTTGGAATCTCACTCAGCTTGAGCATTTGGAGCTCCAATGGAAGAACATATGGGGTCCTGCCTAGCTGTATCTGCCAACATAACCGGAAAAATAACACGATTTTTTGGGTCTGATGAATTTCTAGGTCTTGATACTTGCATTTGGCGTTGAATCATCTCAAAGGTGAGCTAATATGTTTATCAGGCTTGTAACTTTAATCTTTATGAGTTAAAAGTCTGAAACTCAACTGAAATATTGAAATTTTACTCAACATGGATCATTAGATTTGTAGGCATAGACCTAACAAAAATTGAAATAAATTAGGAACCTAGCACTTGATCATCGCCGAAGGATTTGTTTGCCGGCAGTCTAAGTTCTTTAGTTCGAAGAAGATCATCGCCGAAGAATTTGTTCGCTGACAGTCTAAGTTCTTTAGTTCGAAGAAGATTGATAAGAAACATAGATGATTTAACAAGTTGTGTGGTGTGATATTGGTGGAATTCGTTGTGGTATTTGAGGTCGATGGATGGAGGGGTAAATCGGTAAGAGTTCTGAAACAGAGAGAATGCATATGTTTTTTTTTCCGTTTTTTAGAGATGGAACCATCATTATACATTGGGGAAGAAATACGAAGAGGAGAGAAAGAAGAAGCATTGCGGTAGACTTCGTAGAGAGAGAGAGAGATTTGTTACACAAAAGTGAAAAAAAGCCATGTAATCTAGATTTAACCAGTGAAACCGGGAAAAATGCATTCATTACCCTATTTAACAGGTCAATTCTAAGTTTAATGGTTTACACTACAAAAAATATATACGAGGGACATTTTAAAACAAAACTCAAAAGTTGATTGGGTTACAATAACATTTACAATAACATTTACCCTAAAAAATATCATTCTTATTGGGTATTTTCCTAGACTATTCTTGCTTGAAAGTGAAAACCGCAACATTAAATATAGATGGTCAAATCAAGGAAACATATGGAATTAGTGTAGAAACGTGTGTGGTTTGTGGGGAGGGGGATGATAAGATCAAGCACACAACACTACTATTCAATCACAATACAATTATTACTTGTTTGTAATAATTATGATATATCGATTTTTGTCAAATATGTAAATAGTATATGTATTGTGTGTATAACAAAAAGGTCAATGATGCATAATAGCATCCAATATGTATTTGTTACGTATGTGTCATTTGTAATAATGCAGTAATGTAGAATAATATGTATAATTGACTAACAACAGTTAGTCATATGTCGTGTCTGTAAAATAATGTTTATATAAGAATCATTGATCCCTTGAAATACAACATAACGAAAAATTTTGAAATGAGTTTACTCTCAAATTTGTCTATTGAAGTTTATAACTTTTGAATAGCATATCACCTGCCCTAAACATATTATCCACATATTATCCAAATAATATCATCCAACTATCCTAGAATTCGACAAGCAGACGAATACTCTCTAATAAATGAATGTTTTATTTTCCACTTGTCACACTCATTTAATTTGTCAAATGTTATTTTGTATTTATTTTGAATTAATTATTTTTCTACATGTCAATTTATGAGTTTTTCTATTTTATTAAATTTCACATAATATTTTAAAATAATAATTGCAATAAATGTAGTAATAAATGAATATCAGTTTCATTAATGAACATACATTTTAATTTCAAAATTCTCAAAATTAAAGCTTATTAATTTTCTTTTATTTATTTAAATTATTTGTTTAAATTTAAAAGATAAAACATTTACATTATAATAATTTATTATTTTTTTATTTTCTTATAAATTCAAAGTTCTCAAATATTTTGATCTTTGTATTTAACTTTTTTTTAATTAACTCATGTAATACATGAGTCTCACAACTAATATCATATAATTCGAAGATCACATTTATCTACTTTTATTATTATTTATTATTTTGAAAAGTTATTGTATTTTGTGAAAAATTTGCGAACCAAGAGAATACATCATTTTGAACTTTTTGAAGTTTCTTTTGTGTCGGTTCCACTAGATTTTCTATCGGCAAAGTCGCTCTGACTTGTGGGTTCCTACTTCTTTGAATAAATTTGCGCCTATAAAAATTAATATTTTGATTTGAGGGGTTTTATTTAATCGTATCCCTACTAGAACTAATATATCGATTTAGAGATGAATTCCTATCCTTACCGTGGATACCAGATTGTAGATGTTCAACATTTATTTATTGGTTTTGAGGTGGTCGGTCAAGTTTGGTCTCGTGTTCGTCGTGTTCGCCGATAGGACCTTGTTTTTCTGAATTTTTATTCGATTCAAACCTGTTATTTTATTATTATTATTATTATTTTATTATTATTTTTTTAAAGGCAAATCTAACTTACTCCTAAACTCCACATTAAATCCACATATATTCACAACGGAAATTGAACCCTCAACCTCAAGAAGAGATGACAACATTGGATACCGCTGGGCTAGAAGTCCTTTGGTTCAAACCTGTTAACGTGAGTGGATTCTCGGACCATGACTATTATGAAACATGATTATTATTATTTTTTTTAAAGACAAATCTAACCTACTCCTAAACTCAACATTAAATTCACATATATCCACAACGGGAGTTGAACCCTCAACCTTAAGAAGAGATGACAACATTGGATACCGCTGGGCTAGAAGTCCTTTGGTTCAAACCTGTTAATGTGAGTGGATTCTCGGACCATGACTATTATGAAACATGCGGCTTTGGATGTTATTTGCATGATATGGGTTTTGTGGACGTAGTACCTTCAAAACAATAAGATTATAACCAATTGAGTTTTGTTGTTACAAAATCCTATTTCGGCTATTACACTGGAATTGTCTATTTGCATTCGATAGCTTTTGGTAAGTTTCTATATAATTTAACAATTCCAAAAAAACCCAGTGGCGGACCTTAGTGGGGCATTTGGGGTCCCGGGCCACTGCTCAATTTCCGGCACGCAGTGTAAATTTTTTTTTTTTTTTTTTTTTTTGGTTTTTTCTATTAGGTGCACCCGCTTGAAGTACGGGGGACACCCCTACTAAAACAGTCTGCGTCCGCCGCTGAAAAAACCTATCCTATAAGTTTATAGTCAAATAAAGGACCCATTTGTCAAAAAAAAACAATCTTTATTTTACAAAATATTCTTTTATTTTATTGCAGGCACATAACACATTTATTTTTAAAACATATTTCCAAAATCGACGTGGCTGGAAATGCATTTAGAAAGTTTTTTTTTGTCATACATTACATTAATAAATTATTTATTAAAAAACCATTTAAATAACTACTTATCAGATTTTAAAAGCAAATAGCGTAAACGAATATAACCCTTGTATCTAAAGCCATATCATATGATTTATTGACATAAATCCCGATAGATTTCACCAAAGTCAAACAAAACATAAACAAGAACAAAACACAACCCCTAAATCCTCAACTCAGCACACCCAAGAATCGTTCCCCGGCACCGAGTCATCGCCGCCGCCTGCCGCCACACGGGCCGCTCACTCCCAAGTGTCAAAACATCAACATCCGACATCTTCTTGATATCACAATTCCATCTTTCAGGTCCAATCACACCACCAATCACATAAACATCATCCCCAAAACCCATCATAGCAAACCCAATTCTTTTCTTGAATTCAGAAGCCGAAATCACTGCTTTACTAACCTCTTTCTCTTGCCTATATATAACCCCATGACTCATCACATACAACGAACCCTTAACCACCGCCATGGGACCCTGAACCCACGAATGCTCATGAACCGTCCACCCGTCCCTCCCCAAAACCTGAACCGTGGTCAAACCCTTGTGAACCACATGCATCTGACCATCAATCACAAGCCCTGAACACGCGGAGTTATGAGTATGGTGGAGGTCCGGAATCGACACCCAAACATCCTTTTCCGGGTTGTAGATCTCCGCCATGGAGATCGATTTCCGGCAGGTTGTGAAACCTCCGGCCACCACGATCTTCCCATCTAAAACACAACACGCAAACATCGCACGTGGGACAATCATGGAAGCCCGTGGGGCCCACCGCCGGACGATCGGGTCATACGCCCAGACCTCGTTTGTTGCGAAACTCCCGTCTTGGTCACCGGTCAACGGGTCAACGGCGTCACTGCCGCCACCCAGAACAAACAACTTTCCGGCGGTGGAGACGACACCAAAGTGGGCCAGGTTGCGGACTCTCGAGGGCAATATCGGAAGTGTAAGCCAAATGTCGCGGTTTGGGTCGTAGAGTTGCCACATGTTTTCAGGGTCGAACGCGCATACGCATAAAAAGTCTTCCGTGGCTTTGACTTCTTTACGCGCTTTGTATAGCTCGGTGCTGTGGACCGCATCCCGCCATGCACGGGACACAAGTTCGAGTCTCGGGTGGAGGTAGAATGGGACCCGCGCAAGACACCTCAGCGCCACTGCATCAGGAAGACCTTCTATCAGAACTGCCATTATTTCAAACACTCAATAATCTTGTAACCTGGAAAGAACAAACCAACAAAACAAAATCACTTTTTAACAGCAACGTAATTTCATTTATTCGTGTATTATAATTTATAGCATCCTAGTTTCAAATCTTTCTATTACAGCATTGTACTTTCAATTGTATTATTATTAAGACATTGTAATTTGAAAAATCTAACTACTTATATCAGTGAAAATTGCTTTGTATTTACTTTTACAATGTTGTAATAGGAAGAAATGATAAACAAAATCAATGAAGTAATATTTCTTGCATTTAATCCTTTGTGTATATATACTAATACATAGGGGGAAAGAGGACTAACCTTAGAGTTCAAAAAGAAACTTAGCTTTGTCTTCACGTTCAAGAATCAAGATCCTGTGAGGTTGCAAGTGGCAACTTGTTGTCGTTAAATTTCAGTCTTCTAATCACAAATTCAAAAGGTGAAGGTATTTGTTTTTGTTATATTGCCCCTGAGAAATTTCAACAACAATTATGCACGACATGCATCAAAGAAGAACAATTAAACAAAGATGTATCAAATATTTGAAAATAACAAAGGCCATATCAACAAGCCATGGTCTTTTCTCGCTACACATTCCAAACAAAATATAGAAAAGTGATATTACATAAAACACATCTCACAGAAGATCATTTGTTTCTAGCTATGGATGTGGCATGAAGAAACTGGTTCCATGTAGCCTGTAGGTCTTAAGAAAGGAAACAACCATTAATGGAGTTTAGCTTCATACTTCTATGGAAACAAGGTTCATCAATTATCTAAAAGCTGGAAAATTTTAGAACTATGAGACCCTTATTAATCCAAAGTTATTGGCTTCTAAATGTTTTTTAGTTAATTTGAAATTTATTATGTCCGTTAGCACTTTCTGCTTGGGGAATTACATGTAAACATACAGTACAAAGAGCAAAAAAGATCTATGTTAATTCTATTACCCCATTTGTCGCAAAACAAATGCATCAAATTTCACTTCTTGACGAAATTCCAGGCCAAATTATATGTTTTGCCCATTAATAATCATTACATTAATTCAAGAACATCGATTTAATACAAAAGAATCCCCGTCTATTGTTATTATTGACGGGTATTTTATTTATTTTAAGCTTTGCAAGATTGGGGTAAATTGTGATACCGCCAAACCACATTAAGATCAATGTAAAAACCCAATCAAGACAAATTCGTGTGTGCAAGTTCAACGTTTGCAAATGCAATTAAAATCACAGAGCATCAAACGTTCAAATCATTAATCAATACCCCCAAAAAAAATCAAGGAAATCAATCAACGCAAACGCTAAATTGAACAACAATACCCCAAATTAATCAAATTCAAAAACCTGTTTCCGCGATTGCAACAGAGCAGATTATACGGCTGCTTCCGAATTCAGGCTATAACTCGATATATATTGGTCGGAAAAACAAGTAAAAATTATTCATAAAATCAAAGCGGTGCAGCAATTTTACCTTGAAACCCAGATTTGACCCCAAATTCCTCAATGATTCATCAAGAAATGGCTGCGAAGAAAGGGCAATTGCTGTTGTTGTTGTTGTATGAAGAAGATATATGGAGGAAGGGCACGGAGAGGAGAAGTGTTTGGTTAGTGTTACAGACGAGATGTTTAAGAATTCGATTCGTAGAGAGAGACATAGGGTGAGAGAGAAAGATCGTGTGTGAAATGTAGAAAGAATTTTTTATAATAAACTGGAAAATTTTCTTATAAAATATCAAAAAGTATATTCCTTCGCATGCTTCTAGCTTTTTAGTTTTTCACAAAAAGCTCTAATTTAAACAAAAAGCTCTAGTTTGACGGTATGCGCGTTTAGCTTTTAGTTTAAACAAAACGCTCAAATTCTAAAAGCTACTTCATGTAGCGTTTAACAAAACGCTACTGAGCTTTTGAAATCAATTTCCATAATTACCCTTAAAAATATATTTATATATTTATTTATTTTTAATCAATTGTCCTTTTATGTAATTTTATATATTTCAAAAGATTCCAGCTACTTTTGCCAAACATTCATATAACAAATAAAAGTTACAGCTTCCCGCTATCAGCTACCCGCTACATGCCACCAGCTACCCGCTACCAGCTAACCGCTACCCGCTTCCAGCTAATAACTACTTTTGCCAAACACGCCCATAGTAGAAAATTGCAAAAATAACTTGAAGTTGTTTGGAGCTAATACATTATTTGTGGTAAATTTTGCATTTTCCACCCTAACTGTTATAATAAAACAAATATAGTAGAAAATTGCAAAAATAACTTCTGTTTGGAGCTAATACATTATAGGTGGAAGTTATAGTTTTTATTTAGACAAAACTTCAAAAATGGTCCCTGTGGTTTTCGAAAATATCAAGTTTAGTCCCTAAGTTCAAAAAACCTCACAGATCGTCCCTGTGGTTTCAAAACTCTTAACATTTCGTCCTTCCGGCTCACTCCGTTACCATTTAGCCGTTAAGTCAGGGGCATTTTTGTCATTTCATTACCCAGGGACCATTTATGAGGTTTTCTATTACTTTTTTTTAAATAAATAAATAAATTTAATATGCAAGGGTCCCACCTCTCTCTCTCTCTCATATGTCCATTTTCGTCCTAGAAAATCCAGGTGCTTTCTCTGTTTCTCTCTTTATATAAATAAACACTTGTCATATGTATCCATCTATGAAACTGAGTGTTTATTTGACAAGTGTTTATTTGACAAATGACAAGTGTTTATTTGTATAAAGAGAGAAACTGAGAAAGCACCTGGATTTTCTAGGGCGAAAATGGACATATGAGAGAGAGAGAGAGAGAGGTGGGACCCTTGCATATTAAATTTATTTATTTAAAAAAAAGTAATAGAAAACCTCATAAATGGTCCCTGGTTAATGAAATGACAAAAATGTCCCTAACTTAACGGCTAAATGGTAACGGAGTGAGTCGGAAGGACGAAATGTTAAAAGTTTTGAAACCACAGGGACGATCTGTGAGGTTTTTTGAACTTAGGGACTAAACTTGATATTTTCGAAAACCACAGGGACCATTTTTGAAGTTTTGTCTTTTATTTATATAAAGATTGTGTTTGACGCACCATAACTAGCTGATAAGTTATCTTATTTAAAGAATTTTTTTTTAAATTATTATGTTTGACAAGACAACAAGTAGCTGATAAGCTAGCTTTTTAAGGGCGTGTTCGGCACACAACGTTTGGGAGCTTCTGACTTATAGCTTTTAAGAAAACGCTAGTAAAAAAGAAAAAACTTCGTTCGGCGACATGAGCGTTTAGCTTTTAACCTAAACAAAACGCTCCAAAATCAAAAGCTACATGGAGTAGCTTTCTACAAAAACCTCCAAAATCAAACGTTACCCGCTAGTTTTGCCAAACACACCCTAAGACTGATAGGTGTGGGCAACGCCCACTCCCGTTATGATGACATGACATCCAAAAAAATGCAGTGGTAACAACTGGAACACCGCCCCATCCTTGTGTTATTAAATATGGTGTTATTAGATGTGGTGACGTGAACTCTCTCTCTCTCTCTCTCTCTCAACATCATGTTATAACATGTAATAACATGAGAACACTACCCCCACTTCATGTTATAACATATTGGAATGTGAGCTGATAATACTTGATTTCATAACACCGTTGCTCACACCGAATAACCTAAAAAGCTACTTAGAGTAGTTTTCATGATCTTTTTTAAAAAATAAAAAAAAATTGCATATACCCTTAATTAATTATAAATATATATATATATATATATATATATATATATATATATATATATTGTAAATGTCATTTTATGTCATTTAATATCCTTAAGTTATAAACTAGTTTTTACCAAACGTCATTTTTTATCAGCTAGCTTTTCAGTTATCAGCTACATTTTCAGCTACCGACTAACTTTTCAACTAATCTGCCAAACATAGACAAAATGTTTGACAAAAATAATTGTTCGTTTTTAAATTTGTAATATTAACTAAAAACTAAAAACCAAAAGCTCTAAAAAAACTATTTGAAATAGCTTTTAGATTCAAAGTTTTGTTTAAAATAAAAGCTAAGAAACTCATGCCAAACACATCCTATGTCTAGTGAGTTTAATTTTTGTAAAAATATCATTTTAATAGGTTTTAATTACGATTTTTTCTATTATACTTTGCTGATGCACTTATGACTTCAAGAATAATTCTAATCGTTATGTTATATTTTAATAATGATTAGTAAACTGTAATAACTACCATTGAAATGATAATTATGATGATTTTTAGTTTTTTACTCATAAGTTAGAAGATTAAAAAACTAGAAACTTCAAAAACTCAAAAATGAAGCAGTAATAGACACGGTCTCAACTCGCCTTATGGACTTAACTAAATGGGAGCTGATTTTTCCACGGTTTCTTTTAATCTATCAACTGAAAATTTAATCTAATGACAATAATGCCCCTCATTTAAATAAAAAGATATTGCACCAGATGTCTATAAAAATCGCAGGGATTTGTTTCCAATTTACATGATGTTCGTTCTTTCTTCGACGCTTCAATCTTCAGCCGCCGTTTCTTCCTCCGTGGGTGTTGCAAGATTCAAATTAATGGAAAGTGGTCTCTGATTCCACGATTCATTGTAGAAAGAAGAGACACCTTAATACTTCCATATACCCTAGTTTAACGGCGTATTTTAGTTATGAGTTTTTGCTAATAGAAAGAAAATTGTATAGATTTATCCCTATTGTGGTCGTTGTTGGGACGATGTATCTATGTGTTGACCATATCGAACTGATTCGTACAGTAACAATGTTGAACCGAAACCGAACCCATAAACTTGAAATAAGGATTGGTATTGGGACCGGATCGGGATCGGGTTTACCAGTACCAGCACTGCCTAGAACCGGTTTTACGAGCACATCTTGGTAGATCATATACTACAAACGTTTTGCCCAGATAATTGTTAGCCCACATGGTATGTTACGAAGACATGCAATCATAAAATTTAA